TAGACAGAGAAGGCCTGATACAGATATTCTGGGCTGCCAAACTCGGGCATGAGGGGGTATTGGACATCCTCCTTGGCCTTGGATATAACAACACTAATTGTACTGACCCCTTCGGCCGAACACCCGTAATTTGGGCTGCTATGAAACCATGACCAACTATTAAAGACCCTTCCGGACAGAGAGAATGCCAATCCCAATGTTAAATTCATGCCTAGTCGAACAGCACTCTAGTATGCTGCCTAGAACAGTTACGACGAACTTGTAGACATACTCCTATACCGGAGCGATACCAATCCAGCCAGTTCAGGGGGTCTAACCCCACTCTTATGCGCTATTCGGAGGGGCCATTTTTTTGTTGTTGAGATGCTGCTCGGGCGGGACGACGTAAACCCTAATGCAGCGCATGACTGTGGCACAACACCACTCTGCTATGCTTCAAAAATGGGAACGACGAACTTGCGGACCTCCTCCTGGGAAGTGGAGATATCAATACTAACACAGTGGACAATAGCGGCCACACACCACTTACTTGTGCTGTCAATTCACCACTCGATGGGTGTGCTAGAATAGTCAGCATGCTAGTAATACGGAAAGATGTAAATCTCAACGAGGCCGATACCAGCGGCCGAACATCGCATTTCTTGGCAGCCCAGAAGAGGGATGTAGGAGTAGTCACAGTGCCCTTAGAACAAAGAGATATCACTCGGGACGAAACAGATCATGGCTGCCGAACACCACTTCCTTGGGCGGCTGAGATGGAGAATGAGGAGGTAGTTCAGCTGCTACTCAATTGGGAGGATCCAAACCCTAACACGGCCAATGACTACGGCCGAACCCCATCATGGTTTGCCACCGAGAAAGGGCACGAGGAATTAGTCATAGCGATATTAACTCGGGACGATATCAACCCCTAGGCTCCAGATAGCGATAGTCGAAACCCACTGCTGCGGGTTGCCAACCTCGGACTGGGTAGAATTGCAGAGGTCCTGATCGGACATCAAGATATAACTCCGGACACCGCGGACAGATAATGTCAGATGGCACTTCAGAGTGCCGCATTTCACGGGGACGAAGATATAGTCACGATGCTGTTAGATCGGGAAGCCGGTGACCATAACACTGCCAATAACGAGAGCATGACGTCCCTCCATTGTGCCGTAAATAGCGGATACGAAGGCGTCGTAAGCCTTCTGCTCGACCGAGAAGACACCAACAATCAGATAATAGCGGCCAGACCCCACTCTTGTGCACCGTCAAGAAAAGACAAAAGTGGCCAGTATGCCTCCAAGGCGGTAACAGCGGTTTCCACGCGGCAGCTGATCTCGACGGTCAAACATGTTTTCCCAATCAGCCACAAGCCGGGATTGGTATGAGATAGTAAAAACGCTATTGGGGGGAAGGGACAACGACCCTGATTGACCGGATAAACCACGGCCGCACACTTTTTAGAAAGCGATGGCTAATCGGATGCAGGACGATACCAAACGACGATGAAACGAAACGGCAATGACTAAATGCGCTGTGAAAAACTCTGCACAACCAAAAGCGGGGATGTTCACCAAGGTCGCTCCGCAACTCACTCTATTCAACGACTCTCTATCGCTCGCTCGCACTCCACAACTAACTAAACTAACAGGAAAAGACAGGAGTATACTCCCATTGACTTTCGCGCTCCCACTGCCTTCCACGCTCCCATGCTAACAAAAGAAAGACAGGAATAAAGATTCCCGACGGTCTATAACTCCCCTGTCGTCCATGTCCTTATCCATCGGGAGCGCTTTTCCAAAGCGCACAACCAAAACCTCCGCCCCAACAAAGCGAATGCACAAAAACAACAAACGAGTGGACGGGCGGGAGCGAACATACAGCCGGCCCCGGGAACGTACAGCGAATATACAGACGGGCAATAGACGGACGGGTAGAGTTGCCGACGGTGAAGGGAACCAAGTCATGGGCATGCCGAGCAGCATCCATGTTTTCCAACAACACTACCTTCGTGGATTGTCGAGAGTGCGGGTGAGGATGCGGTGGCCATGTTACTCGACAGGGAAGCCATCGACATGCATGCCTCAGATAAGAACGGGAAAACCCCACTCTCCCGGGCTGCCTAGAGCGGGAATAAGCAGGTGATAAATATTCTCCTGCAGTGAGCGCGTTCTAAACCTGACTCGGGGGACCATGGTAGCATCCCGTTTTTGAGTGCCCCCCGGGAAGAAAATGGGGCTTGGTTAGGCCTCTGACGAGGGGGAGGGCACTTGAGTGGCCATGGGTACAAAGACTTGTCGGATTTAGTGAAAAATGTAGCCCTTCATAGATAAACGTGGACCATGGGAGGCCCTGGTGCCCTATACAAGACGGAATCCAAATCACCTCGAAAATACTTGTTTTCAAGCTACAATTATTCTGTGGGTTCCCATAAAGGAAGCCTTAAAATCCCAAAAGTAGCTATACGTCTGAATTTATGCTCCATGCCAGAAGTCAAGTATTCCGCTCGACCAACAGAATATACCGGCAATATCGTAAGAGTAAATTCAAATACACCCCGGTCAGTAGGGGAGCAAAAGGGTGAGTGATAGGGTGTGAGGAGGTAAAATATTTTAAAGAATAAGACGAATTGAGCACCTGTACTTGGGCGAATGGGTATTCTTTAGGGCCCGGCAGCGACAAGCCCTCCCCCAACGTGTTCGCCCTATCGCTACTTCTCCCCTAGAATAATCCAAAAAATTCATTTCCCAGTGATCTTGGCCAAGGTGGACTATCTTTCCCCACTCATAATAATTATTATCGTTTCCCACCGCAATAATGCCCGTTACGCTGTCGGTTGGAGACCCCGACCTTCAGTGCGATTGGGCCTATATCCCAATCCCAACAGAGGATAATGGTGACTCTAGTCGAATGAGAGGTCATGACTGCCTCGGATTTTTTTTTATAAAATTTACGTATCATATTATGCAAAGTCTAACTCATGACAAAAAAAAATGAGCCCTCCCAATCGACCGCTCCTGCAACTTCAAAGCCCGGGATTCCTACCTTTTCATCAGTCGAACCGTGAAAACATATAGAGCGGTTTGCGGTAGAAAATTGGATGAGAGGGTTAGGAACTTGGATGTATGATACCAGCAATCCGCAACGGGGATGCCATGTACTACTCTGCGCATTTTGTATGGCATGCTCGTGCAATGTTTCGGGTCAATTTCCTCTCGCAACCTAGCATAATTCACGAACTGTAATCTACAAGCTTTTACACTCCCTGGTGGGAAGAAATGATCTCTCGTATGGATCCATACAGCTCCCCGAGATCTCTCTAAGGCAGTGATCAGCTACGTCGGTGAAATGACCGTTCAGGTGAAAAGCCTTCAACGGCCCTGGTTTTCCGTCACAACATTGCAATGATAGGAAACTTGTGACCCGACTTGGAATCCTGACATGAGTTGATCCGGGAGCCGTGGAGGGGTGCTCATGTTATCCTCGCCATTTCGATCACTGTATCATACCCAACGCTCCGGCCACCGCAGCACGTGCACACACACACACAGAGCAACCACCCCTACCCGCTACCATAATCCCCGAACACAGGAATCCCTTAGAGACCGGGTGACCGCAGCCCCGATTTTTTCCACTCCACTCACTCACCACCGCACAAACGACCAGCATAACTAACGTTCATCACACCCGCCGGTTGTGAACTCGCATACCATCATTCCTGGCCATCGCTGCTCTCACCCCCTTCCCTTCCATGCCTGCCAATAGCAAGATCTGAAAATAAGGGGACTAACGCCTCTATCTAGCGTAACGATAAGTTACCGGTGGGTGGGGTAGGCGCTATGTAGACTAGCGGTTCCAGAAAACTTCTCCCTTCCCCTCCCCCAACTCCGGTTTCCCCCCTCGGCGAAATCGGGAAATCACATGTCGGGAAATGTGCGGGAGGACATGGCCACTAGGAAGAGCTAAGGAGGCGTTGGATCCTTGTCCGCTCCTCCCTTCCTACCCCGCCCCGCCATCCCCGCCAGGTCATGTAGTAGCTGTGAGATGATGTAATAGGCTGGGGATATGATATGTGAACTTGCTTTTATCGCTGAGGGTTGTGAGCAATGTTTAGACATAAATTAACTTTATCCCGCGCGAGCGTACCGTGCTCTAGGGTATACTATAGAAGTCAGGATGCCCCCCCCCATCTGTGGAATTGGAAATCTCTAGCGCGGTAGCAGTGACGAAGGATGACTTGTGGTAAATACAAGGAATGGCTATCATACCTTCAAATCTGAACTGACGGGACTGTCAACAATGTGATATTACAGAGATAACGTTAACACAGAGCATTCAAGCTCCTTTCCTTTCCTGTGCCTGCCAGATAGAAATTGCCTTGCTGTGCTCGAGTACTCGAGTACTAAGTCTGCATCGAGACGGTATTCCTGTTGTCCACGGTTTCTCTGAAAAAAAGAGAGAGAGAGAACGGCGCTGGGCGTATGGGCACTGATGCTTGCAGCTTTGGCCGTTTTTGAGCTCTACCTACCGAAATCTGCCTGCGGTAAACCGCCAAAAACCGCCAAAACCGCGCACCACTTGTTATTGAAGTTTGATGCACTGACCAATTATGATGTTAGCCTGCATTCCGGTTGCTAAACTAAACCTTTCGAGCCACTAAAACCGTACTTGTAGTATGGTTCCGATTTTTCCTACCGCAAGCTGTACTCGAGTACCGTATGGGCGGGTTGATAAGCTGTTATTTATATGATATTACTTTTTCTCTCTCTCCTTTTTCTTTTATGAGGTTGTTTCTTCCTCGTGCTGACCTCCTGCTGGAATAGCTAATTCCTGAGTGGGGGTTAAAGTTACAAGTACCGTCCAAGGCAGATGGGGCAACTTGACAGGCGCAATATGAGAGTTTGCAGACCGTTTCTGTGCTGATGGGATACCGGTATATGTTTATTGTACGCTTTATTTACAAGGTTTTTATATCCATCTACAATACGGCGGGAGGGCAAAGCCATGTTAGTTGACTAATCATCAGACTTCCTCCGGAACATGGCAAAGAAACCGCCGCCAACTAGACGGTCCCCGACGGTTGGTCTGCAGATGAAGGCCTCTGGAACGGGTGCAGGCGGTACAAGGTCAGAGGGAGGAGAAGCTCGCTCTGGAACAGGTGATGGCGGAGTCAGTTCCTCCCCGGAGAGAACTCCCTCCCTCCCCTCCCTCTCCTGCACCTCCTCCGCCTTCTTGACCCTTGCTCTAATAAGCGCCGGCCGCACATCCCACGCCCGCAAACCGGCCCCAACCCCCGTTCCGCCAGGAAACTCCAAAACCCTCTCGCAGAACAGCCCACTCCCCTTAACCCTGGCCACGGCGACCATAATCTGGCTAACGCTCGGACACCAAACGCCCACGACTCCATCTGGCCTCAAGCAGCGCATGACATCAAACAGGTAGTCCTGAGGTCCCGGTAGGTCCAGCACGGCATGCGTCAGGAACGGCTTCCCATCGCGGACGGAGAGCTGCTCGCGACACCAGGTACCTGGGTCGCAGACATGGAAGCGCACGTTGCGGAGGTAGATGCCCCGGCGGAAGTTTGATACGACCTTTTGCGCGCGTGAGGAGTGCGCGGCTGATACATCCATCGTGTGCAGCAGGGCGCTTGCGCAGGGGGATAGCGCGCGGGAGAGGTAGAGTGTTAGTGAGCCGTGGCCCGTGCCTGCTTCCAGGACTTCTACCGGTTCCTCATTGTTGTCGCGGCTGCTGTCGCCAGGGTCGGCTCCGGGGGTGACGTGAATGTCGAGTAAGGATACGATCGTCGCCGCGTCGATCGGGTAGACCGGGGTTACGAGACGCCGCACGGAAACAATGTACTCTTCCAGGGTTGGAAAGGCGATTCGGAACTTCACGCCCTTTGGGGTCGTCACGACCTCCCGCGGTCGCTTGCCAATGATGTCGTTGTGTGAGATTGTGCCTCGGTGGGTTTCGCAGGCTTTGCCCTGCGTAAGAGGCTGGGTGAGGTAAGTTTTTGTAGGGTCTAGGACGGGGCGGAGGAGGGCTATGTCATTCTCTGGAATGAAAGATTTTTTTCTTTCTGTCAGTCAATTGTATGAAGAGGTTTGGGGGAGGGGGAGGGATACCGCAAAACACTCTCTGAGCAGAAGAGCTCCATCGCCGAATGGACGAGCTGAGAATTGAAGGAAGACGTGGGCGAAACATGTTTTGCCTTTCTATCGAATTTAATCCCCCAGCCCCTCTCATATCTCGCGGGCGAAACAATACCGGTAAAGAAGGGAAGAGAGAGAAAATCCCGCTCATTCCATCAAATTTCCAATTCCGTCTACTCGTACAAGTAACTTACCCGCCACTTCCGGCCGAGCCTTTGAAACCTGGGTGTGCACAGCACTGCAGGCCAAGTTACGAGTATCTCGAGTACTAGAAGAACCCTAATCCTCAGAGCCTCCCATCCAATCCACCCATCATCCCAACGGATAAACCCAGTGCGTCTGTCCCACTTTAATCCACCTATCATACCCACCGTTATATCGCTTTACCGACCGAGACTTTATTGTTGTCATGTTGGGTTAGCGAGCCGAGCAACCAGCAAGCGGAAAAAACCCATAATAAACAGGGACAAACTGCTCTCGATCAAAGTGAGGTGAAGTGAAGCCTCTGAATCAGGATATGGGACTGGACAGAGGGTGTAGGGTACTGTACGAGTACACTACGGTACGCGATCCTACTGCACCGGCGTATGGTTGTGAAATGGACCATTGCAAACCCCTCGAACCTGGGCCCTTTTTTCTGGTTGCTTGCCCCTTGATTTAAGTTACATAACTTTCGCTCGAGCAATGACCTCCGTTCCAACACATGCTATGGAGGATGGTTATTGCCGGTATTTCCCTTCACCCCACATTTATGCAGAGTTTTTTTTCCCAACAAGTACCGGGTACTGTACTAGTACTCGTATCATAATATGCAGTCATCCATTGTGCTGTGGTTACTCTGGGGATGTTGCCGTTGTTCCTTGGGTTGATTGGATTTTTTCCATTTTTTTCTTCTTCTTCCGCATCTGGTTAGTATGGTATGATGGAAGGGTGCTTTGAGGATGTGATGCGATTCGGTGATAATATTGTTCGGTATCATACTCGTACAAGTAGTTCTCGAGATGGCGTTCGCATGTTTTCCGAGGGCGTTGCTGCGGTTTGCGTGCGGGAAAAGGGGTGAAATGTTTCGTGGTTTTGTTGTGGGGTTTGGGGTACAGTACATGATACTGTAAGGTGCCACCGGTGTTCAAGTGGGCACTCGAGATTGTCACATTGTGTCCTGCTGTTCGAACCGTGCTCCGTGAGTCCCCCCGTAGCTGTTCAACTGTGAGGGTTGAACCGTTTCACTCCACGGTTCTACTCGAGTACTCGTACAGTACTGGTATAATAAATTTATCTCAACTCCCATACCATCCCATTCCAGACCAACCTGCCCACCGCTGTCATAAACATCCACCTCTTCCTGCCCTTCCCTCCTTTCCCTCGGCTCCACATTCTAAACTCTCGGGCGCAATGCTCTCCATTCAGGCAAGTCAGTGCGTCCGACGCCTAACAAATTATTCCCACGGTCTTGCTTGAACCCATCATGTGCATTGTCTGCGTCCAGGCAGACGGTGGGATGCGTGGCTTGGCGGGTCCCGCCTCACAGAATGTCACATGCATGCATGGAACTGTGTGGTTGTGCCGGTATGATACAGGTATCATATTCAGTAGGATACCCGGTACGGTACTTGAGGAGTGTAGGCTTAAATTATCATTATGATATACTCGAGTAGGTAGATACCGGTATTGTAGTGGGAAGGAATAAGGTTATCTGTCCCTTACAGATGAGTGTGGTACGAATAACCATAGGGGGCAGATTAAATCTGGATGTGTCGGAGGTGAGATGGGGAGGAAGGGGGGATATGATGGGATACCGGCACAAGCACAGTGTGAGATTGAGGGAAGGGGGGATATGATGGATACCGGCACAAGCACAGTGTGAGATTGAGGGAAGGAGGGGAAGGTCGGAAAAGCTTCCATTGCACTCGAGTACGAGTATTGTGAGGTAGCTTACCCGTATTGTTACAAGTATATGTGGGTTGCCAGAGGCAGGCCATTTCCCATCGTCTGCTTCCCGATAACTTCCGCACACACTCAACTCGGGGGGAACTCAATATTACCGCCGTAAGCAATACTGTAGGTGTCCTAGAAAGTACTTGACCAGCCAGTAATACTTGTACTAATACAGTACGAGTACAGTACTCGAGTAGACGACTATTAATTACCGTACCTGGCACATAACGCACGCCTCCCTGAAGAAAAGGAAGAAAAAAGTCAAAACTGACCTCTCCCCGTCTCTACTCGAGTAAAAAAGTCCAGGTGATTTGGTTGGTTTGAGCATGCCGAGAGCGCTCCGTTCACCCGCTTCCCGCTTTCCCTCATTGTCTCTTCCCCCTCACAAGCCTTTTTCCCCCCTGCACACTCGCGCGCTACTGTGCGTAGCGCATCTTCTCTCATGCCATGCCCGCTCTTTTCCTCACACTCTATTATGATACAAGTGCTCGAGTACAAGTACGAGTACTATCTATCTATACAGTACGAGTAGTAGTCTACCTACTGACTTATGGTACCGACTGACACGGGCTTGTGACACATTACCTCACCTACCATCCTCTGTTATGCATGTACGGGCACAGCACCAGCACGGGTTCACATATCGTTGCTAATAGTCCAAACTGGACGAAGGCAAATCTCCAATCCCAATCCCAATCCATCCCACCTATTTCCACCCCAACAATTCCGCATTACAGAAAACCTGTACTTTACTGTATCCTCCACAGTGTTATATAGCCACCCGCAGCCCACCACACCTGTCCTTCCCCTCTTCTCTCGGCGTTTGTTCGTCTATTCGTTCGTCTACCCTATTTGTCTGCCGAGATTCGGGCACCATGACGACGAGAACGACAACCCCGTTATCCTACACCTCGAGCACAACCTACCACACCACAACCCCGGAACCCCAAGGCTTGAGTCCGCCGCCGACAAGACGGCAGCGAAGTCACAGCACGAACAGTCACAATAGCTGGTGGAGCGCGGAGGAACCGTCGCCGGTGTCACTAGCGGCATGGGGGGTTAGCATTGCTACGACAGCGATGGGAGCAGGCGCGAGTTCGCCAAGGAAGCAGAAAACCTCGTCCACCATGGGAACCGTAACACCGGGGCGGAGGAGAGGACAGGCTTCTTGTTCCAGAACCATCACCACTCCGGGTTCGAGTTCGAGTTCGGCCTCAACGATACGTCCGCACTACCAACTTCATTATAACCCGCATCATCACCACCGTCACCATCACCACCATCACCACCCCACCTCATCAAGGTCCCCCGTCACTACCGCCGCCCCCTCCTTCTCCTCGTCCTCGTCAACATCCTCATACACCTCCACCCATCCAACCCTATCACCAACACTGCCATACAACACACCAATAGACTGGAAGGGCAACGCCGCCCGCCGAGCAGAATACGCCGCGCTCGACCGCCGTCGTCAGGGTGTTACGGGACTCTTCCGGCGTGCCGCCGCCTGCTGCTTCGGCCGTGCCAGGAGCGAGTTCTGGGAGGAGAAGTGTGGCGATGATGGGGGTAGTGTGCGGCGCTATCGCCTTGCATTACCGGCCGAGGAGGAAGAGGAGGACCCATCCTCTAAAGGTGCTGGGGAGGGAGGAAGGGGCTAGGACATGGCATTGATTGGGAAGAGGAAGTGGAAGAACTGGGAGTTGATTGTTTCATTATATCTATTCAGCGAGGAGTTTGTCTTGTTTTGGGTGAGGAGTTTTTTTCGTTGCATTTTTGCGTTTCTTTTTTTCCTCCTTGTATTTTTACACCTTTTGTTTGTTCTTGATCCGTCGTGGATTGGATTGGATCGGGTGGTCGGGTAGATTTTTCTTCCAGTCTGTCATACAGTGTATGATGTTTTTCTGTGCATATGATACATTACTTACTGTACCGTGCCGTACAGTGCGAGTAGAAGTTATTCCTTCTTTTCTTCCCTTTTTTCCTTTTCCTTTTCTGTGTTTCCACGTTGCACATCGAGGTATTACTGGGGATGCGGTACAGTGCATGATATTAGCATGAGATCGTACAAAATCCGTTCATCTGCATATCTGCCTGTCATGAGCGTCGCCGAATTTGTTTATAATGGCCAAGTTAACGTCAGGAGTTCTCTTCTTTTCTCTTCTTTCCCCCTTTGCCATGCCATGCCATGCCGTCTTGCTCCGTTCTGTTTTGGACACATTTCTTACCTACCCACTTCCGCTGTTTCTCCATAATACTTTTATGCTTGTCGTTGGTTAGCGTCGGAGTCTACTACTTCTGTTCTGGCCTTACCTTACTCACCTGAGTACCTACTATACATACCTTTTCTCCTAACCTCTATCCATTTTTTATTTTTTGATTGTTACCGTTCTAATTAATAGTTGTCGTACTCTTCCTTCTAGTAATATATTTCTCTTTACACACAAGTTTCACTTTCACTACACCGCTGACACGGTACAGTACGGCGATCGAGTGCTGCATAGGATAGGAAGGGGGAGGTGGGGAGGGGGGATTCGAATACGCTATATACCGCAATATCAGTAGAGAACTATCATACTCATGACATAATTTACTCTCGGACGTTTATAAGCTTTTCAGCCTTTTTCGACCTCCCTTCGTTTCATCTCTACCTTGCATACGACTGATGCCGTAGCGATAACAGCACAACCGCTATTTACACCTAACCCTGGGAATGATTCGAGCACCGAATAGTACCGTATAATCGCATATTGTGGTACTCAAGGGACGCAATAAATCTAGGAAAATTGCTTCTGCGGATCCAACACATCTCTCTAGGGAGACTGGGGTCAATTCGTGTTTTCCAGCATCCGCTCCCTTGCAGATACAGCGCCGTCCGGGAAAGCACCATACATCGAACGTCGGATAAGTTGTGGATCAGATCGAAGATACGGACCACACGCTGAGTCACGCCATGATATTGAAGGCCGAGTCATCTTCTCGAATGATGTTTCTGGATAGCTTACTATGTTTTCTGGAACTCGTGTTTGATTAGCCGGCTGTCACCTGCACTCTGGCCGCTCTTGCAAGGTCTTGTTCCTGAAATGCCCTACCTTTCCGAAACCACATGTCATTTCATCCTGCGCGAGTCTAAATCACTCGTGCCAATGGAGCTGGAAGTTTTTGGTCATGTGCTGTATTGCATGTATTGCAGGATTGATGTAGCTTGGTCACGCGGGCGCGGTGTGCCGGTAGTAGGAGGTAGAGCACAATATGCATACAGGGAGTTTCGAATCCCTCCTCCGTATATCATACACCAGTTGACATAACCTTGATACCTTTTTGCTCTAAAGAGAATCCGTTTGCCGGGTCAGTTCTTCCTTGATTACAGTGTTTTTTTGATGGAGACGGTATGAAATCTTCGTACCTAGGAGGGTATATGCCCTTTTTGTTTGTTTTCTTGTTTCTTGGTTGGTTGGCAGGACATTGAGAAGCTCAAGCCTCTCAGACTAGTCTCTGTATTATATCGCTTTGAGTTTTTTTTCTTCAATTTTTAATTTTTTCATAAACAGCAATGCCTTCTGTACTCGTACATAGGTTATTGGAACATCACGTCAATGACCAAGTACCATCTGCACAGCAGTTCCGCCACGGTTAATTAAACCCGAGATGATACTCCAGCCTACCCAGCAGAGATCTCCCATGAATTAGTACACGTAAAGTAGCCAGCACCACAATAATTGGGATGGCTCGGTTTGATAAGCCAAGGTACTCCCCCTAGCCCCCTCATACGCGCATACCCTCTTCACCCTTCCCCGCACCACATCGCCGATGGCGGTTCTCCTAGCGCATAAAACGGAAAGCGAACCCTAGTTAATTCCTTCAGGATTTCCACCCGACCCGAACTCAAGCTGCGAAAAGCGGCAAGGTCACTGCACTCCTCCGCTCTAGGTATGCATCACTTTAGGCGCTACGCCGGCAGTCAAGGGTTTCCAAGGTTACGATATCTTGGCCCTTGGATAGGGTCGAGTGATGTTGTCGGAATGGGAAATTTGCCGAGAGAGAGGGATAGAGCGGTCACCGGAGCGGAAATTGATGCTTTAACATTTATTTTGTCTGGTTCTCGCGTTGTGCGGATTATACCCAGCATTAGTACAGTACATTGAAGGGACGTCCTTGGTTACATCTGGCGCCCAGCTCATCGCCGGACTACGCCGCCCGCTACAGCATAGTAGAGTAGAAAGTCAGGGCAAAAGGTCCCTACTTGATGTATCAGGTAAATATCTTCTTACAATGATCGGGCATTTATTCTACTGAAATCATGCGCTATCACTCTCAAACTACCTTCTGCCCAAGATGCTCAACTGATACTCCACGTTCAGTTCTCCTCACATAGCCAAGCCAAGTACCCACAGAAACGGTCTTGAAGGAATTTTTTGCATCACGGGAATGCACGCGCAGCAGGATGTTGTTAGATGCGCGGGTGCTATACCTAGGTATATGGTAGCATTGGCTACCCTCCCCCATGCGAGTGAGTCAGGAGCTAATATATCAAGAAATCAATGAACATTTCGATAGCCTATACTCAGAGGGGGGGTTGTTAGAACGCCAAAATCGGAATGGTTAGTCTTTTTTTTTTTTTGTTTCTTCATGTTATAGTGGGGTATCCAAAGACCTTGACACAAACCCACGAGTAAACGCCATCAAGTGAAGGGTAACACAAGTGACAAAGGACCTTTTACTGATGTCGACTTTGTTCAAGGAATTTAAGTCGGTCGTCGTGTCTTGTACAGTAGGCTGCGCCATACCCGTACCATTTCAGCAAGGTGTTTTCTGTTGTCTGGAATGTGTTATATACAATGAATGAGTGGCTGACCCGTTTACATTCTTGGACAAGGAATGAGTGGCTTGTGAGCGAAGACCGGTATAGTTTCGTGGCTTCACTGGACCAGAAAACTTGTATATATTGGCTTTCGTTGTTGTTCTGTTGTGATAGCAAATGAGATGCTATAAGGGCTGACTTTGGATCTCAATTTCCAAAGGTAACACACGAGTGACTTATCATGATTAGAAATTTCTCTCTTCCGAATTAATTGGATGGGGCTCTTGTTGATCCTTGATAATATCGTGCAGAGAAACTTAACTTATCCCCTTAGAGGAACCACGTCACGGAGTGCGATGGGGGTCCAAAACGTTATGTTGGAAAGAAATTGAATTCCTAACTACTGCCCCCTCTCCAATGTTCACCTTGTCGGCCCTGCGACGCTGTTTCGGATAATAAACTCCTCAGACTGCCTCTAAGGTACTTGAGATTCAGAGTAGGCATTATTATGGCAGATAAGGAATCCGTTTTTCATAATACTGGTTGTAATTATCATACTTGACTTTGTATTATTATTATTTTTTAGGGGGGGGGAGGTGCTGTGAGGATGGAAATAAGGATCATCCTTTCTTCCCTTTAGATAGCAACAAATGATACGATGGACATCAACGAGCACACAAACTTCCGATTTTACGAAAGGGCTAGCGAGACCGATTTGTAAACGGACAAGTGAGAATTAGCGGAAGGACTGTGCTGCTTTCACCACGAGGACACAAATTGATTGATTTCCTTAGAATCACCCCCACGTTTAGAAGTATGATATCAGCAGAAGTCTAGACTCCGATCTGTAAGCTCACAACTTTAGATACTTCTACCAGTGTCCTTGCCCCCTTACATTTCCGAAACCGTCTCCGGAATTATCTTTACAATCCCCCCCCTCCAGATTCTCGCCGATCGCATCCGGTGTTGTATCCTCTTTCAGTTTCGCTCTTAGAAATCGAATGATATCATCCTTAGTGGGTGTTATAGATACAGCCGCTGCCCTCCCAGCAAGATTTTTCTCCACTTCACCATGGATATGCAATCTCCCGACCGTAAATGTCCGTGTGCCTAGGGAGTTCTATAGTATTTGTCCCAGTAAATCAAGCAGCTTTTCCTGACACTCCACCACACACTAGTCGGGAGCATCAACGCATATGAAGGTGCGCCATGGGGATGAGATATCCTGTGACATCTCTACAATTTCCACGAATCCTAGTTTCCGGCCCTCGATGTTCTTTTTCTGGTCCCAAAAGGTCTTGAATATCTTGCTAGAACATTTTCTAGCCCACCGATAACCTGTTTTAGCAGGGAACCAAGGATGCTTGTTGGGGACTAATCCTTCAGCGAGGCAAAGTAGAAGTAGAAGCACGGCAGTCCCAACCCGTCACCCCCACCCAATAGCATAACGTATCTACTACCAGGGAATCAAAATCACAGCTCCTTAACAACACCTTTGCTTCATGAAGGGTATATTTTCTTACCTGATGTAAGCCTTGCCGAATCCCGGACCCCTGTAGCAGAACAAGGCTGGGTTGTCGGATTCCCCACCGCAAGTACCGCAAGCACATTCAAATCAATTCCGGTGTTCCTCGTTTCTTAAGAGCCACCCCCCACCCCACACCTTCGACTCAATTAGCTCTAATATTACCGTGCCGCATCCGGCGACCCAGTGGAGATCTCCGTGCGATAATCCCAGACCTCCCGTTGGGATCACCAAAGTTATTCACGTTACATACTTTGTATGAGTCGGTATGGAAAGAATTGCAGTTGTTGAAAAAGATGCAGTTTACCCTGACATGAAAGTATGACATTTTCTTGTCTCTTGCTTTGAGCTTTGGAAGGCCGTAGACTCGATGCAGAAGACGGGTTTGTGAGAACGGTAGTGTCAATTTATAGAATTCCGGAGGGTGAAGAAATGAGAGGCCATTAGAGGTTAAGTAAGGGCGTGTCTGGTTACCACCAGCTTTCTCAAACCTTCATACTTTTAGCAAAATGTCAGTTGCAAGATCGCGTAGTAATGGCAAGCATATTATTTAGGCTAAGAGTCAAGTCCAGTGTCGTGTCTAGCCACTCACACTAAACTGCCATGATTTGTAGTTTTATCTCAGAATCAGGTG